GTGAAAATAAGGGGTGTAAAAGTTCCTTGTTCGATATCCAAAACCCTCCTCGCGTAAAGGCGCTTCTTCTCGTTCTCATGATTGCGGTATATCTGTTGGGGCTCTAGGTCCCTATACGAATCAGCATTAGGGTGACAAACCCTCACGCCAAAGAATGCTGATCGTTGGTTCTCCCAGAACCCGCGCGCATGAATATCTAATCTCGCATCTGGAGCTTGATTAGAACCTCTTCCCAGCTGTTCACCCGAGATGTCTTGCAGGACAGGCTCAGTCTCAACATCGGTACAAACCATATTCAGGAGTTCGGCTTCTAAGTCCCTCAGCTCATTGTGACGTTGGGTAACGAACCCACCTTATCATTACTATTATTATTATTATTATTATTATTATTATTATAATTACCGAAAACTTAAGGAACAACAGAATTTCTTAATTTTTTACCAAATGCATGTAAGATTCAAGTTTGTATGGAAAAGTGCCCAATAAATTTTGTTATTATTGCTATTACTATTATTACTATTATTATTTTTATTATTATTGTTATTATTATCATTATCATAATTATTATTATGATTATTATTATTATTAGTGGGATCAAATACACCAGGCATGGCCAAATACTACACCGGCCATTTCTAAATTAGCATTATAATGTTACTCTTTCAAATAGGTGGAGCGCTCTCCAGTTGCTCGATGCCTGTCCTCACACTGAGATAAAACGCCCTTTTAGACATTTGCTTGTGACTTATCACCTAACCACACCAAGTTCGCGGAAACCATATATTTCCCATAATGTTGGACCCTCCTGGAGTTGAAACTGACAAAGTTATTTGACATGCAAACTTTTCAGGTTCAAGAGACGCAGGGACGGTTTTTGTTATATTATTATAATATAATTTATTATTATTATTATTAATAGTAGTAGTAGTAATAGTAGTAGTAGTAGTAGTAGTAGTAATATTAGTATTAGTATTATTTTTACTACTATTATTATTACTACGATAGTGGAGTGTGTGAAGATTTGTAAATAGGTTTTCTGAGGAGATTTTAATAAAGCTCTTGTTTATTATTATTATTATTATTATTATTATTATTATTAATGGTCAGCACAATGAAGAATGACAGCAAGCAAAATGCTACGTGTAAATTTCCTTTTGTATATCAAACCATGATATACATGCCGTATTTTTATTCGATCGTTCAATTCGCGAATAGAATCGCGAGAGAACTGGACGTCAGCGCAAAACGGGAGACATGACAGGGTAGGGGATCTCCCCTCCCCCCACCCTTCATTTCCGCGTGCTTCGCGCTTGCTTCGCTCGCTTCAGTTTTCTTTCGCGTGCGTTGAAAAATAGAGAGGTTGTGAACAGTATACATCTGATTTTACTCTCCGTCCTTGCGGCACACCGTCTCAGTCGACTTTGCAATAACTTATTACCTCGGAAAATGCTGGGTCAGTGGGAAAATTGAATTAGAAAACCAATAAAGTTTTAATGTTGAGTGTACTGTAAGAGAAATAACTGGATTTCTAAGACTCCTACAGAGGTCGCAGGTAAATAAGTGTATCATACACATCCAATGCTTAGAAAACAATTTGTAATGAAAAGCCTTTGGAAAAATTATAATTCCATTCGAATTCAATTCCCGTGTTATCACAACATCGTTTTTTTTTTTTTTCGGTTTTCTGCGTTTTTGAACATTTGCAGCTCACCGAAAAAAAAAATATAGAGAACAATATCTGTTATTTAATCCTGCTCCTTGAATTTAGAAAGTGGAAAGCGGCTTTTTGAAAGTAAATTCCAGTTAAAAATTATTAAGCAATTTTGATTGTTCTAGCCGAGACTGAGTTTTATTGTTTTGATAGCCTAAGTGTAGGTTCATCAGTTGTCGGACTCTGAAATTTTTTTGGCGCAGCCAACAAAGACAATTTTGTGGATTTCTTTGAGTCAATTTGTTGTAAATGTCCTTACTTAAACTGTCACAGGCATTTCAAATGCGGCTTCGACGCAGCCTGTTCTGATATGCCATCTGAAAGGTGCCGGGCATGATTACGTATTGAGTAACCATAACATTACAGGGGAACTATTACTGACCAACAGGAACTCAAAAGAAGAATGGAAACGTAAACAGCTGTAAAATCCGAGGAATAATTCACGTAGTACTATTCTATTGTGATTTATTGTTTACTGCATATAAAGCCCGTGAGATTAATTGAGAACGCACCCTATGGCCTCTGTATAGTCCTTTTCATCGGTTCCTGCAGTGTTATTCATTCACCGATTAAACTGCAGGGCTAGTTTGTTTCCGATATCCCACATTTTTTTTCCATCCAGAAGACTGTTATTAAAGCTTTTGTTAACTGCATATGTATTCTTAGTAAACTTGTTTAATCCACCAAATTAAAAACTGTGTGTCGTAACCTCCTCGGAGGCTGGCAAAATTAAAAGTCAGATCTTTGCCGGGAACCAGCTGTGTATGGACCATGATTGATTTTTTTTTATTAAAGAAAGCATAAATTCACTTCAGTCAGGACAAACTGCTGTGTCCTTTTCATTTCTTGAAATTGATTACAACCGTACAATTTCTCGCTAGGAAGATTAAATATGCATGTATATATCAGTTTATGTCAGACAGTGTACACAATGTTACTTCGTCAGCTGCTGTGTTATTTTCAGAGGCCGAATGAGGAGGTGAGAAATCTAATAATGTTCACTGCGAATCAGATTCCGAACAAAAGCTGCATTGAAAATACCTATCACCCGAAGGGCGTCTGAAAATTGAAACTTTATTATCATCTAGAACATCAGAAGCCGACCAAAAAAAAAAAATCCAAGGCTAACAAAGTGTGTCTTATTTCACTGTGAGCTAAAAGTCGCACAAAGGTTGAGATGTATCCTTGGAGTTAAAAGCCTTCGATCGAAGGTAAGCTTGCCAAATGTTGGTGTGAACCGTGCATAGTTCGTATTTCAGTTCTTTTAACACATTCCTTGTTATTTCATCAACCCAATAACATATGAATCACGTTAAATGTACAAGGAATATGCATGCCTGTATGTTAGTCACCGTTTAAACTCTGTTGTTACTTAGTTTGTGCAAAGATTTCTTAGTATTTTCTTAAAGCTTGCCAGGTATAATCAGAGTCAATAGTTATGAAAATGTGCTTTGAATATGTTCGGCAATTTCGCTGATCAAAGTTGTAATACAATTTCAACAGCAGGACACATTTTCTCGATTTAGATTTTCTCTAAGCCCCTTCTCCCGAGCGCCAAAAAGTACGTCATTTAGGCACCGATATTTACTCTGAAATGTTAAGCATGTAATTTTAGAAGCAAGTTTCGATTAATATCCTTTTAAGTTCTTTTACTGGCTACCGATTGCTTCGTAGCCTTCATCGGAGTTTCAGGAACCTTTTTCACTTGTTAAATATTGGCAAGATTTTTGGATTGTTTAGACCTCTATTATATTGGTGTTGAGTATTTGCAAAAAAATACAGCCAATGGTGTACCGCTTAACTGGTTAGCATATCAAATAAGTAACTCTGCATTGCTAAACTTCGATAAGCTACTTCTATAAAAAACTGGCCGTGATTTATTTTTCTTGCTAGCTCGAATAGTGTTTCCACCTATATGCCTTTCATGTTCTATCTGCAAGAAGAAGATAATTGTTATAGGGATAGCTTCAGTTAGCCGAGGGTAAATAATGGTATATATTTTTCATTTTATTTGTTTATTTATTTATTGATATTTTTTTTGTAGTTATTATTAGAATCTCCAACTAATCTAGAATTTGAAGCTCCAACTGTTTCTCTTGTTAATTTCGTGTTGATATCTTATATCCTGTTTTGTCTGGTTCCATGACCCCTATTGTCTTGTCCTATTCAACTGGTACTGGTTGTCAGGACACCCTGATGATTCAAGCAATATGTCCTTGAACTTTATTACCCACTGACGGATATCAATGTCAAAATAAATCAATTTTCATGTTTATTGACGCCTGCTTTCTTTTCCTTTGTGTCCAATAAAAATACCTTGCAATAAAATTGCCTTTTCTCAAGAATTGCTTTTCTTGAACCCACGGACATGTACACTTGATCATATTCTAACTATACACGGAATTCTAATTAAATGGGTGTAATGATTTGTCATTAGAAAAAAACGTAGTGCGGCTGTGTTTCAAGATACGCTATACAAAATAAAAGTTCATTGAAAAGGGAAATTCTAATAGGAAACTTACATGTATAAAGAGTTTTAAGATTTTAAGGGATTTTTTTCATATTACCGCCTCATTTTCAGCAAGTTGTTTAAGTATATGCTACTATACTATTTGCTTTATGCACAATGAGAAATTTTGGAAACTTTCGAACCTATTCCTGCGACAAAACCTTAAACCACGAAAAGCATGATACAAGCAAAGCTAAACAATGCTAAATACCTACAATAGGAAGAGCATGTAACCATGGACATTGCGTCAGTCATAATTTTTCTTGGCTATATGGCCAGGGAAATAAAATCGAATACAACCCATGTTACCAGTGGACATTTAATCCTACCATGCATGGCTGCAAAAGTAACTGAGAACTGAAGAGTTCCTACAGGATATTAACGAAATTTATGTGGGTCACTGTACTCTGTGCTTGGCTCTCTAGGTAGCGGTGCCATTGTCTATCGCGGGGACTTGTCCTCGTAATGCTCTTTACAAACTCAAACGAAATTCAAACTTTTGTCAAAACATGCCCAGAAGTCTTAGTCCAAAATTCCCAGAGCATGGTCGCCGTTGTGTCCATCGGTTAGGCCACAAGAATGCCATACGCCCTAGTCATGAGCTTTTGATGACAGTAATGAAGTGATGTATATTGAATTAAATGCTATCAATAAAACATACCAGGAAAACAAAACGATCAACTCAATGCCCCTAACAATACTTAGCGTATCAAACCCATTCCCAGTTGAGAGTTTGGAAATGGAGAAGAAAGTCACCAACTGGAACCGGATAATTTAGGGAGTCACGAAGATTGAAATTCTTAAATTCTCCGAACATCAATCGGATGGCTTAACGGAGTCGTCCCCGAAGGTTTTCGATTTCAGTCCCAGCCTCCCATGAACCGATTTTTGATTTAAAGTTCAAAATGGCTGCAACATAAAACTGTAGGGACACACTCATCACAGGTAAGATTAACTTATCATTTATTATTAGCTTGTTTCACGGCTTGCAAAGAACACGACCAATATTTCCCCGGTGCGAGCCTCGTCTAGTTCGAAAACGTCTTTGTGAAAACCTTGAGTCATTCATCGGTCAAAGACGAACTGTAAATAAATTAATGTTCTAACATGGCTCCGAGGCTTTCAAGACAACATTACTAATTTGCGAAGTTGATTGGTCTCTCAATTCCCAAAAGATAGAAAGAAAATACCACCGAATATAGAAGTCTGCCCCAGAGCCGTGGCCTGTTGAAAAAACTAGATTTGCGTGCATGAAGCTAGGATCTTAAGTTTGGAGGCGGAAAAAAAGATATTACGAGTTTCCTGTCCGTCTCGTGGCCTTTGGGTCAACAAGGTAATGTGCTAATAATTCGTCCGTGAACTCAAAACCATTTTGACGATGCCTTTTTTCGCACGACACATTTTGTTTTAAAACCTGCACTGAAGATTGAAGTGGAACTGTTCAAAAAAATATGTTTTGTATCTATCAATTTGTTAGTGCAAACATCACTTTGCTAGAATGTACAACAACAACTCATTAGTAAACTTAATTTACTATCTCACTGAAAACATAATACCAGCTTTTTAGTTAAGGAGTTGATTTTGGCACACATATTCAGAAGCATTGTTCTCAATTCGGTGACATGGCAAGACTTAAGACATCTTTTTTTTTTTTTTTTCATCTCAAAATGTTTATGATATGAAAATAATTTTTTCAAAGAAAATTCAGGGACATTTTCCTGTAATTATTGACAGAAGTTTATTGCATTTGGTATCTTGTTCATTATTTCAATGTCGTTATGCGATGTTTGACATATTTTCATTGCTGGTCTCTATACTATTTTTATATTCCTGTTTTCTTTATGGGTGTGCTTCGATATCATATCATGATAGACAATTCAATATGACCCCCGAGTCTTAAAACTTATAAATATAATATCGATACTTATCTGGACAAAAGAGAGAGCCCGGTCTGCTTTAATCGGAAAAAAATATCCAGAGAGTATTTTGTTAAAATGTAAGCGAGAAACTGAAACTTAGTGGACATTAGAATGTAAACAGTTATATTAGTGTAATGCCACTAAAAAGTACGATTGCGAAATCAAAAGAAGCAAAAATTAATCAAAATTTATGAAATCAAATACAAAGTAAATCAAACGCATGGAAATGTTTACAAGGAATTCACATGAGAAGATGTCTGCCGCCGATTAAAATAAGAACCCCCTTGTTCAGCCAGAAGGCATATATATATTTGACACCCATGCACCAATGAATATAATTTCAATTGGCAATCTCTGATTGCTATTTTGTATTTGGATTCTGCTAATAGTTAAAATCGTTTTACCTAGAGCAGGAATGTCGCAGACTTGCGATATTAAAGCCGTGATCTTCTGCCATTACATAAATTATAGTTCATGCTAATCTTGGTTCAATATGGTCAACAAGTTTTTTAAGCTCTGAAATAAGTAATTAAACGTGTGGTGATCGATCAGTTATATTTTTGGGGTTCAATCTCCGTTATAGACTCACAGTGATGGAAAGAACAGAAATGTTAAGTTTATCAATCCAGAGCCACCTGACAAGTAGAAAATAAACGAGACGACACAGAGAATTGGAATCATTGTTAAAATATCACAAAGGGGAAAGGTTTACAATATTTCGGCTCTGTTTCAGAGTCCATGTAATTAAAATTCAAACAAATGGCGCGGCGTAGATTGATATACAACTGCATGCCTATCATAATCTTGACAATGTTAATCTCAGAAAGCTAAAACACATAACAAGTGTAAATCTAAAGCAAACAAGAAAAATGAAAGGGGTTGAATTTCCTCTTAGCGTGGGATTTATATTACATCTCGGCCACCGGCGGAAACAACTGCCTCCGCCTTGGCATGTTTTTTTTCCTTCCACTGAAATATCACAAGAGAATTATTTAATTATTATTAATACACGAGGACAACTTCCCACGGCCATACAAATTTCCAGGTAGGAGGTTAACATAAATGATCCACATTTTTTGAGGAGAGAAGTGCAAACTGTGGCAAGCCGGTCTGCGTTTTGCAGAGGATGGATTTATTTATAGCAAATTTTAATTTATATTTCACGTTTCATTCGTGAGCTATTGGAGAAACGTGAGTATCACAAATTAGCGCGAAAAATTTATCTGATTTCGAATTACATGGTAAAATATAACACTGTAGTCACTGTTTTCTGTTTAATATCACCTAAAATTTGGCTTTACAATCAAGATCGAAGTTGAAGGGGAGTTCTATATTGACATTCAAGGCTATCTAGAGTACTATCTGAGAACTTGAAAATTATCATAAATTGTCTTTACGAGTTTGAAACGGTTAAACCTTTCCTCACCACTTTTTGCATTAGATACCCAAATTTGATGTATTGGTCGACAGAAACATTGTTGATCTTTTCCATGCAAAGACGGGTTCGATGACAGACGTTGAAATTCAGTATTTCTCGCTGCGCAAGTAACATGGTCTGACTAAATTAATCAAAATCACTCAACGAGTTTTGCAGCAAGATGTTATGACAACACATGATAATTTTTTCGGCGGTGTTTGGAAAAAGAAGCTTTCTTTCAGGACATTTTTGCAAAATATGGGTCCTTAAGCGGCCTGACATATAATTCAAGAGAGCACAACTATCATGTTTTGAAATGTTTAAATACGTACAGATGGCAAGAGGATATAGATATTGCAAAAAAAAAAAAAGACAGATCAGAATTGCTCACTGCCACTTTAGCTAGGACGCATGCGTAGCCAGCTGGCACCAGCGAAACCTCGGTGGTGCTTTTTGTAGGTCGCCTAGTCCAGGCGCCTCAACGCTTGTTTTATTTATTACATGGTTACATGCGTTCGGTCATTTACGTAAATATTTAAGAATAAAAATTAGCGAGAAAAGTTTACCAGCGTGCCCATATAAAGTGATGAAACATAACGATAACTATCGTATTTATAATTATAAGTATGTCTAAACGATGCGACATCAAAATTTTGTGTTAAACTGTTGTCGCTAATTTTAATCCTTAAATGTGCATTTCTAAATTTAATTTCATACATAAATATTAAAATGGATAATTATGGCGAGACTGACATACGTATGTTTCGTCCCTGTCAAGGGTCTCATCAGAGACCTTTCGGCTAGCTCGTCAAACATCGCGTTTGAAGTCCCTCCGTAATATGCCATTCAACATATGACGCAATTGGGAATCTTTACGTTATATAAGGCCATATTGCCAGCCACTATCATTTTGATGCTAATGGACTTCAAACGCGATCTCAGATGAGTTAGCCGAAAGGTCTGCGATGAATCCCTTGGCAGGAACGAAACATACTTATGTCAGGCTTGCTATAATTATCCATTGTAAAATTCTTGCTCTTTTTTCAAGTTTATAAATATTAGAAGGAAAAAAATCCACACATGACAGTTTCACCCTAGTTACTTGCTGGTAGTTAGGGACATCTTAAATTCCGTTCCCCCGCAGAAATAAATCATTAGTTTTACCAGGTTAAATATTAATAGTTTGACATTTTAACTTTTTAAATGCTTTTCGTGGTATTAATCTATTTGTCACAAAACAGAAAATTATTATTTTGTTATAAGAAATTCATGTATAGCCTACAGGTGTTGACAAATTCATGAGCACCGGCCAGAGGAAATAATTTATACCGCTTTACTAGTTAATAGTAAAAGTACAAACACTGGAATGGTTTCACCTTGTATATAACCATGGCAACAGTCAGCGCCTCCGTATGGCTGTGGATCTGCATTAACAGTCGATCACCGAAGATAATTTGCAGCTTTGGTATACATGTTGTATTTTCTTAAATAACTAAAAACCAAAACTATTCAAGCTTTAAAAAAATGCAAGAATTGTGGAATAATCTTATAATTTTACATGAGATTCGAAAAAACGGGGCGACCAATACAAACTTCTGAGTTTTGTAGAAGTTTCCCGGATTTCCCAAATATTAAGATGCTTACTACTTTCCTAATAAGTTGAATTGAAACTCAGTTGCTAGTTGATGTTTCATTTTAAAAGAAAATTCACTTTCAGGCATTCATCCGCTGGTTCATTCTAAAAATAGCCTATTGGTGATGATGGTCACTTCAAAACGTGACAGAAATTCGCGGGCGACCAAAATTTGCAAAGTGCGGCACGTTGTTGTAATTCTCATAGACATTGCGTGGAACATAAAACCATTTTAACCTACGAGTTAAGACTATAATACATCAGAATTAGTTGACTTGACTGGATTTAATTTTGACAAACGGAAAGCTTAGTGATTGTTTCTGCAGTGTCCTTTACATCAAATTATCTTCATGAATATAAAGCTCTTTTTCGGCTCGTCTTCTCAATTGCCTTCTTTAATGTTAAATCCTCCACCCTTAATTTATTTTGACATGAGAGAACAATTTAGTAAATTTTAACCCTAAGGGATGCCCTCCTCTTGGCAAAATAATAATTCTGTCAAAATTATTCCTTGCTTCCTCTCTCTGATAATCAAAATTTAATTCTATTATATTAATTTTGTCATCTTTCTGGACAGTCCATATTCCATGGCAGCGTTTCTTTGAAAAGCAGACCGTGTATTCCAGTTTAATGAAGGAAGCTAATATAATTTTCTCTTTAGAATTCGAAACAGCACCTTATGTTCCCAAAATTTCCTTACATTGAGATTAAGGTTAATAAATTATTCAAACGCCTTCACAAAGTGAATTACACCCGAGTAACAATTAAGTGAAGATCGTTTTGTCCTGATTTACATAAAGACGTGATGTCAGTGGGAGGCGACGGTGTATTATAGAGGTTAACAGGAGAGAAAGACAGCTAGTAGTCTGTAGAACAGCTTCTTTATCTTAACAAGATACTTTTTTCTTCACAACAACAGCAGTGTCTAAGGTGAGATTGGCTAGAAATTGTAATCTTGCGGCATACATGTAGTAATGTCATGCATACTGAAATTACATCGTATTTGAGGGAAGCTTGGCTTGCATGTGTTTTCGGTGGGTTTCGAAAAAGATTTTACTCTTCTCGAGAAATCTTTATGAACTGGCAAAATATGCGCTAGTATAAGGCGAGGTCCAGTTTGACCCAAAAACGCGCAAAATTTTCCTTGTTGAAACTGAGGGTGTATGGTGTTACTAATGAGGTTTATAAAGATAAGGAAACCGAAGAAAAGTTAAAGACTGCGTTCGTGAATTTAACTACGTGATGAAAATTGGAAATAATGACTGGTAAAATTTTTTTAATATTTCTACACATCAAACCTTAAAGCAAAAGAAAGAACAATACTGTTGTTCTGTTTGTGTTCGTTTTTGGTGGTTTCGTAATTGATGCCGAGAGCAAGTCGCGACAGATGTTCGATATCAGACTGTTGACAAGGGAGTCATGAAGTTTACACGTCCTCCCATCAATAGCCATTTACTTTTCAGGGTGAAAATCCGACATCACTTTGTGAGAATTAAGTCTAACAAGGTCGGCAGCACTTTGAAATTTCATATAGTTCGTGTGTCTAGAAACGTTTTGTCGTTATACATTTGTCTCCCAAAAGTCTCAGCGGAGCCCAGCTTTTATTTTTATTCTCTGGTCTTGTCCGAGGCTTCTTGATTACTAATGGCCTCTTATACAAAGTCATGTTTGAAAGCAAGACAAATAAACAGCTAAATGGAACTGTTTTATTCCTCTAGAACTTTCCACTGTTTGAACCAAAAGGGTTGATAATTGATTTGATTTTAAACGTACATGTATTCTTTTTCATCAATCGGTTTTCTTATGCTAATCATCATGGCGGTAACATACTGTTGGCAGGCAACATGCATACAATCGTCGGTTGTGCAGTACCGAGAGAATAAGTTGAAATACGTGTAACTGAAAACTGAAATATTAAAGATGTCACTAAAAATAAATGTTTATTTTTTTAATGTTTTCTGTCGACGTATTTCTAGATATATGTCGAACAGTTTTGCAGATGTTATTGAAATCGGCGCACAGGCAATTAATGCGCATTTATTTTAATATCAGTGTGCTTATATCTTTTGTGATACGAATTTTATTAGCACGCACGAAAATACGAACTACGACTGAAATTTAGGGTATACTTATCTGAATTATATGTAAAAGGCTTTGACGAAAAAGTGTCAGTTGACATAAATCATTGTAAACTCGTTTATAATTTCGTCTTGACTTGACATACTATTCAACACCAACAAAACAACAGCCTTTGTTGTGACACCTTTTAAAACAAGCTAATTTGAAAAAGGTTTTAATGAACAAAAGATAAACTTATAGTTCCCAAGTGGTCCTTGGCTGAAATTAAAACCACAGTGTTGATGATAAACAAATTCCACTCAGCTGTTAAGTAGTTGACATGCAAGTGAAGGGGTCACTGTGCTTCGGCGAGCAAGTTACTAAGATACCTCACAAGTCAGGACAAGCATATCTCATAATGCGATTTTATTCACACGTACAGTATATTGTAAAAACGTCATGTCACGCCTGTGCTACTATCAGTTATTGGGTCGCCTTGTTTTGCTTTGTTTTTGCACATTTCAAAGTGTATCTAACGTGATACTTTCTCAGCATATTTGTATGCACACAGCACCCTTAAGATCGAGTCCCCTTAGGCATATTCCTAAACAAAGAGTGATGTGACGTCACAATTCTTATCTTTAACGATAAAACAGCTCTTTCAGCTGATAATCCTACTTTTGAACAGAAAATAAAATAGTGTTATCTTGAACAACAAAAGCTCAAACGATCGAGAATATTTTAGAAGGTAGTTGGTGCGCATTTCCACATCCTTATTCCCTGGCTCTCCTGACATATTTTAACTATGCCAGTTTTACTTGGCTCTTACCTTGGCGTTCAAAATTCTGAATAATCTACTCATGATGATTCAAAATATAATAACTTCCACGTTTCCGCTGGGTTAACCATGAATTTCACTGCTTATTATTTTATTGATTATATTCCCTCAATTTTGATGATGTGACATGCTACTATTATTCGTTCTCAGAGAGAGATAAGCAGAGTTTGGCCCGTGGATAAGCAATCGTAATCACGGTTATCACACCACAAGCGTAACAAAGTTGACCATTTACATCGCTCGTAATGAACAATTCCACCCACATAACAAACCTAAATGTTAAACCGACAAGTGAAGCTGAATCTACTGACACTCAATGGCTGGACATTTTACAGTTCACACTGTTTGCGGTAATATTCACTTTGAGTGCCACAGGAAACACTTTAGTTTGCTTGGTAGTGGCTCGAACACGACGCATGCGTACAACGCGTAATTATTTGCTTGTCAACCTTGCGGTGTCGGACCTGACAGTTGCCTTGTGGTGCATACCATTTGATATGGTGGTGAAAATAGCTGCCCCTGAATGGCCGCTTGGTGCTGCCATGTGTAAGTTACTGTGGCCTTCTATGACGCTTGTTACCAACTCTTCTGCAGCTACACTTGCAGTCATTAGTTATGACAGGTAAGGATTGTTATTATAAAAATGTTTACTTGTTACAACACAATGGTGAAACATTTTTAAACACTTTCTTCAATTCCCAGACGCATCGACGTTTTTGTCTGGCACCAAACGCTACTAACTCTGGTAGGATGTGAGTTTTTGAGTTCACACAGAGTACTCGTTTTGCGAGAAATAAAACAATTTAAAATAGGATTTTTTTTCGCTTAGATTGCAGTCAGTTAGGCATGGTTATATTCATACTGGTTATAAACAATCAACAAAGCATAAGAATAGACCTTTCCCGCATTCCACTTCAGTGCGTACGAACAATAGTACCAGAGCGAGATTGGGGTGGACATTTTCGTACATTTGTTGTATTTTTGTCCACCCTGACCTCGATTCGGCGCCATTGTTTGTTGGAACGCGGGAAAGGTCTATTAAGAACCTAAATAGCCTAATTTCTTAGTAAACACTAATGATATAAGACACTTTTGAGGTTACGTTTAAATATGCAGGTTTTTATGAACGGGTTTTTTACTGTACCCTAGTAGGCTGATTTAGTAAACAAAGGTTATTACTTGTACGGATTTATTACAAAATTAAAGCGTTATGCAAATTAGATGGTATCGAAGGAGAAGAAGCCAAGACTTTTCATTGCAGTAGAATTAACTCTGCATTCCTAGATGATTCTGTAAGCAAGGAAAAGTAACCTAAGTAAATACGTACGGTTGTATAGTTCTTATCTACTAACATTTTGCTATTTATTCGGTCATTCACTGAAACTGCGTACAGCAGGAAATGACGTTCAAGTTTGTTTTCGCTTTCTTTTGTTCTAGATATCGAGCAGTAGTACGACCTATGAAAGCTCGCTTCACAACTCGTCAAACGGGCCTCATCATTGGGGCGATTTGGATCATCTCTCTATTGCTGGTACTACCTTACGTTTTTGCTTTGGGAATTATCGAGAACAATTGCACTGAAAAGTGGTCAAGTGAAAGCACCAGGAAAATTTACACTGTTGGATTATTTGTATTTCAATATGCTTTACCTTTAACGATTATTGCGGCTGCCTATATCAAAGTCGTGCTCAGACTTCGACAACAGGCCGAGCGAATGGCGAGGAACTACGAATTTTCGTTAAGACCGCCCTCACCAACACCTCTTCGCCATGACAGCTGGAACCTCAAGAGTAACCTTTCTCCTAAGACACGTAACACCTTAACCGTATCGCCTCCAAATCACGAAAAGAAATTATTTCTTAATGCGGATGCAGGCAAAAAGAATCATCTTGGGAGAAATCTTCTTGCTGTGCAGATGTGTGACATTGCTTCCCCACTACCACCAAGGAAATTACTTTCCAGGCGCGATAATGAGAAGAAGCAGTACCCGGATAGATTTGGCAGCGGCCGGATAAAAGAGGCAAGACGACTAGAGCACAATACAAAGGTCGTAAAGATGCTTGTATCAGTGGTTCTTTTGTACGCCATTTGTCTGTTGCCAAACCAGATTGCTTGGTTGTGGTACGAGTTTGGGTCGGGTCAGAGCTGGCCGCACATTAATGAGCTGCTTATATTTGGAAGTCTTATGGTGTATATAAATAGTTCTGTAAATCCTTTACTTTATGCTGGAATGAATGAGGAATTCAGAAAAGGATTCATTGATATCATAAAATGCCAATGGCGGAGACAACCTGAACTAGTTTAGCTTTGATTTGGAACAATGCTTGAGAAAGCTCATTACTTCTAACTTATGTAATTTGTAAAGTGTCTATTTTCATGTAATTTAGAGAAGGATTTTATAAACTGAGGTTATGGATTGAAAATCAAAAAGAATTATAATTATTTAACCTCGCAATGGTTGCATCCACTGCTGATAGAGTTTTTTAGTGCCTCAGAATGGGAAAAAAGCCTATATGACTACGGAACGTGTCGACGGAGTAGCAAGATAGTCGTCGACAACCGTTTAGATGTAACTCAATGTGTATAAGAAACTGTAAATATATATTTTTTTTAAGGGAAAACTACGTTAGTTCTCGATAACAGGCAGTTGAAGACAACTAGTCTTGTTCTTACCTATTAGACAATTCTCCACAGCTAAGCGAATATCAGCATTTTTTGTGCCAACATTTTCAAAAACGCTTCTATAACTGTTACACGCGCAGTAAATGCCGGTTATCAAGTTTTGCATCTAAATTTAGTTCTGGATGACTTTGGCCAAAATAAGTATTTAATCTATATATTAAATACAATTATTATCAAAAACTCATTGGATAATGCAATTTGAGAGTTTTCATTGGCTTAGCCATTAAGGGTTATGAGCCACTATACCACGCTTTACAAATATAGAAAGCGTACGCGTTTTGGGGGCTTTTCTATTTTTAGTTTAGTTTAGTTTTCTATCTTTTGGGGGCATTTTTAATTAAACCATTTTCCCGCTCGCGTTTGTTGAGTATGAGATGATTATGGCCAACTCGGCGTTACGCGCCTCGTTGCCTATCTACCATCGTCTCATATCCAACGCGCTCTCCTAGAATAATTGCTAAATTTCGATTTTATTTTTGGCCCACCTCGGATAAATCGGTACTCATGCCCGCTTTCACCCACACACGCGTTATGTAGCTAGGAAGTCCGAATACGGATAAACATTGACAAGGGTAGCAATTTTATCCGATCGAGCCGTACCAAAAATTCCATGTAGTGTAAAATGGGAAATAGTTGATCAGCCCAACTCCTTCCGTCGTCGCTTTTTTCTATTTTTTTTCTTATTGGCATAGTTGACTGCTTTTTTTACTTCTCTTTGATAGTTCTGCTGCTTTTGTCCAGAGTTACTGGGGAAAGAATGAAAATTACGTTTTCCATAAAGTTAAGCTGGTATTCAATCAACTCGTGAAGGAATAATGATCGAGATCACAGTGAATTTTAACCATCATTCAAATAACAATTCTTGTGACAGGTATAGTAATCCCACATATTTGATAGATAAAAGCACGTTGGGCGCCGAATAGAGTGAGTCACGCTCGAACTGGCCCCTTTCGTTGATTCATACACCTGAGCAAGGTATTTCACCACTCTGTTTGGACTGAGGGACAGGAAATGATCTGGCTGAATTTAACCGCTTAAACTTTTCAACATTTTTAAATATTCTAAACTCTGCGAGACTTTATTTGAGATTTATTTCTAAAACAAAATTTTGGTATGACCTTTCATAGGTTCGGAACTTGTTGTTTCAATAGCAACCGTTTTATAGCAAAATTGTTTTTCCAAATTGGAATTTCCAAGTTTTTATCAACAAAATGTAACTCCGTGCAGTTATTTTTACATTTTCAGAACATTTTCGTATTGTTTGATTGACTTTCATGAGTACTGCGTCAATAATAACCCTGCAAATTACAATGAGTCCCTTTTTATAATAGTTTTATATTTATTAGACGTTAACAGCGCTTAGGCCATGTCTAACGTTTTAAGGTTTGTGTAGTATCAGGAGACGAAAGTTTTAGCTACAAACATTTACATCTGAAAATAGGCAAAAATCTTCGGCTAACCCTGTGAAAAGCTCTCGATCGGTAAGCAATCTCGAACTCTTTCGTAAAATCTTATTTATGTTGCTCTAATAGAAACCTTAATAGTAATATAGTAATCTGCTTTTTTGGTAGGATACGGTCTAGGGTTTTAGTAATAGCTCGTATTCTGTGGAAATTAACGATATAGCCAGTATAACTCCGTTGTTAATTAATCTCTAATTCTTATATAAATATTGTAGCTTATTAAACTAGCTTGGAACACAGCTGAGACTGCTATGTTTTGGAACCAATGCACGCCCCAATGGCAGTCCGCTTTCGAGCTTCATGCATCAATCACTGACATATTTCAATGACGTCTTTATATTAAAAGAAAGCTAATTGCAATAAAAATTTGAAAGCCAGTAATTTTTTTGCACGATCGCGACTGGAATGTGGTTTTATGGTCACGTATTCTGAATTTAGCATAATTAACTAAATATGAGGCTGAAAAGGCTCTTGCAACTGTAAAATAGTGACGGCGTTTAGTAGACGTTTCAAGCTTCGCCCACTCAGCCTCATATTTAGTTTATCATCACAGTATCACGCATCATATGAGTTTTTTGCTCACTTCTATTAACCAAAATGACCAAGGATACTGGTGTGAAACCTTATCTGGGCCGTCATGAGTGACATGACTATTTACTCTTAGGGTGCAGTCCTTTGGGGTGATTTGCATCAGGATCAGAAATCAAAGATCACTGATCCTGATCCTGATCCAGATCACCCCAAAGGAANCCATGAATTTCACTGCTTATTATTTTATTGATTATATTCCCTCAATTTTGATGATGTGACATGCTACTATTATTCGTTCTCAGAGAGAGATAAGCAGAGTTTGGCCCGTGGATAAGCAATCGTAATCACGGTTATCACACCACAAGCGTAACAAAGTTGACCATTTACATCGCTCGTAATGAACAATTCCACCCACATAACAAACCTAAATGTTAAACCGACAAGTGAAGCTGAATCTACTGACACTCAATGGCTGGACATTTTACAGTTCACACTGTTTGCGGTAATATTCACTTTGAGTGCCACAGGAAACACTTTAGTTTGCTTGGTAGTGGCTCGAACACGACGCATGCGTACAACGCGTAATTATTTGCTTGTCAACCTTGCGGTGTCGGACCTGACAGTTGCCTTGTGGTGCATACCATTTGATATGGTGGTGAAAATAGCTGCCCCTGAATGGCCGCTTGGTGCTGCCATGTGTAAGTTACTGTGGCCTTCTATGACGCTTGTTACCAACTCTTCTGCAGCTACACTTGCAGTCATTAGTTATGACAGGTAAGGATTGTTATTATAAAAATGTTTACTTGTTACAACACAATGGTGAAACATTTTTAAACACTTTCTTCAATCCCCAGACGCATCGACGTTTTTGTCTGGCACCAAACGCTACTAACTCTGGTAGGATGTGAGTTTTTGAGTTCACACAGAGTACTCGTTTTGCCAGAAATAAAACAATTTAAAATAGGATTTTTTTTCGCTTAGATTGCAGTCAGTTAGGCATGGTTATATTCATACTGGTTATAAACAATCAACAAAGCATAAGAATAGACCTTTCCCGCATTCCACTTCAGTGCGTACGAACAATAGTACCAGAGCGAGATTGGGGTGGACATTTTCGTACATTTGTTGTATTTTTGTCCACCCTGACCTCGATTCGGCGCCATTGTTTGTTGGAACGCGGGAAAGGTCTATTAAGAACCTAAATAGCCTAATTTCTTAGTAAACACTAATGATATAAGACACTTTTGAGGTTACGTTTAAATATGCAGGTTTTTATGAACGGGTTTTTTACTGTACCCTAGTAGGCTGATTTAGTAAACAAAGGTTATTACTTGTACGGATTTATTACAAAATTAAAGCGTTATGCAAATTAGATGGTATCGAAGGAGAAGAAGCCAAGACTTTTCATTGCAGTAGAATTAACTCTGCATTCCTAGATGATTCTGTAAGCAAGGAAAAGTAACCTAAGTAAATACGTACGGTTGTATAGTTCTTATCTACTAACATTTTGCTATTTATTCGGTCATTCACTGAAACTGCGTACAGCAGGAAATGACGTTCAAGTTTGTTTTCGCTTTCTTTTGTTCTAGATATCGAGCAGTAGTACGACCTATGAAAGCTCGCTTCACAACTCGTCAAACGGGCCTCATCATTGGGGCGATTTGGATCATCTCTCTATTGCTGGTACTACCTTACGTTTTTGCTTTGGGAATTATCGAGAACAATTGCACTGAAAAGTGGTCAAGTGAAAGCACCAGGAAAATTTACACTGTTGGATTATTTGTATTTCAATATGCTTTACCTTTAACGATTATTGCGGCTGCCTATATCAAAGTCGTGCTCAGACTTCGACAACAGGCCGAGCGAATGGCGAGGAACTACGAATTTTCGTTAAGACCGCCCTCACCAACACCTCTTCGCCATGACAGCTGGAACCTCAAGAGTAACCTTTCTCCTAAGACACGTAACACCTTAACCGTATCGCCTCCAAATCACGAAAAGAAATTATTTCTTAATGCGGATGCAGGCAAAAAGAATCATCTTGGGAGAAATCTTCTTGCTGTGCAGATGTGTGACATTGCTTCCCCACTACCACCAAGGAAATTACTTTCCAGGCGCGATAATGAGAAGAAGCAGTACCCGGATAGATTTGGCAGCGGCCGGATAAAAGAGGCAAGACGACTAGAGCACAATACAAAGGTCGTAAAGATGCTTGTATCAGTGGTTCTTTTGTACGCCATTTGTCTGTTGCCAAACCAGATTGCTTGGTTGTGGTACGAGTTTGGGTCGGGTCAGAGCTGGCCGCACATTAATGAGCTGCTTATATTTGGAAGTCTTATGGTGTATATAAATAGTTCTGTAAATCCTTTACTTTATGCTGGAATGAATGAGGAATTCAGAAAAGGATTCATTGATATCATAAAATGCCAATGGCGGAGACAACCTGAACTAGTTTAGCTTTGATTTGGAACAATGCTTGAGAAAGCTCATTACTTCTAACTTATGTAATTTGTAAAGTGTCTATTTTCATGTAATTTAGAGAAGGATTTTATAAACTGAGGTTATGGATTGAAAATCAAAAAGAATTATAATTATTTAACCTCGCAATGGTTGCATCCACTGCTGATAGAGTTTTTTAGTGCCTCAGAATGGGAAAAAAGCCTATATGACTACGGAACGTGTCGACGGAGTAGCAAGATAGTCGTCGACAACCGTTTAGATGTAACTCAATGTGTATAAGAAACTGTAAATATATATTTTTTTTAAGGGAAAACTACGTTAGTTCTCGATAACAGGCAGTTGAAGACAACTAGTCTTGTTCTTACCTATTAGACAATTCTCCACAGCTAAGCGAATATCAGCATTTTTTGTGCCAACATTTTCAAAAACGCTTCTATAACTGTTACACGCGCAGTAAATGCCGGTTATCAAGTTTTGCATCTAAATTTAGTTCTGGATGACTTTGGCCAAAATAAGTATTTAATCTATATATTAAATACAATTATTATCAAAAACTCATTGGATAATGCAATTTGAGAGTTTTCATTGGCTTAGCCATTAAGGGTTATGAGCCACTATACCACGCTTTACAAATATAGAAAGCGTACGCGTTTTGGGGGCTTTTCTATTTTTAGTTTAGTTTAGTTTTCTATCTTTTGGGGGCATTTTTAATTAAACCATTTTCCCGCTCGCGTTTGTTGAGTATGAGATGATTATGGCCAACTCGGCGTTACGCGCCTCGTTGCCTATCTACCATCGTCTCATATCCAACGCGCTCTCCTAGAATAATTGCTAAATTTCGATTTTATTTTTGGCCCACCTCGGATAAATCGGTACTCATGCCCGCTTTCACCCACACACGCGTTATGTAGCTAGGAAGTCCGAATACGGATAAACATTGACAAGGGTAGCAATTTTATCCGATCGAGCCGTACCAAAAATTCCATGTAGTGTAAAATGGGAAATAGTTGATCAGCCCAACTCCTTCCGTCGTCGCTTTTTTCTATTTTTTTTCTTATTGGCATAGTTGACTGCTTTTTTTACTTCTCTTTGATAGTTCTGCTGCTTTTGTCCAGAGTTACTGGGGAAAGAATGAAAATTACGTTTTCCATAAAGTTAAGCTGGTATTCAATCAACTCGTGAAGGAATAATGATCGAGATCACAGTGAATTTTAACCATCATTCAAATAACAATTCTTGTGACAGGTATAGTAATCCCACATATTTGATAGATAAAAGCACGTTGGGCGCCGAATAGAGTGAGTCACGCTCGAACTGGCCCCTTTCGTTGATTCATACACCTGAGCAAGGTATTTCACCACTCTGTTTGGACTGAGGGACAGGAAATGATCTGGCTGAATTTAACCGCTTAAACTTTTCAACATTTTTAAATATTCTAAACTCTGCGAGACTTTATTTGAGATTTATTTCTAAAACAAAATTTTGGTATGACCTTTCATAGGTTCGGAACTTGTTGTTTCAATAGCAACCGTTTTATAGCAAAATTGTTTTTCCAAATTGGAATTTCCAAGTTTTTATCAACAAAATGTAACTCCGTGCAGTTATTTTTACATTTTCAGAACATTTTCGTATTGTTTGATTGACTTTCATGAGTACTGCGTCAATAATAACCCTGCAAATTACAATGAGTCCCTTTTTATAATAGTTTTATATTTATTAGACGTTAACAGCACTTAGGCCATGTCTAACGTTTTAAGGTTTGTGTAGTATCAGGAGACGAAAGTTTTAGCTACAAACATTTACATCTGAAAATAGGCAAAAATCTTCGGCTAACCCTGTGAAAAGCTCTCGATCGGTAAGCAATCTCGAACTCTTTCGTAAAATCTTATTTATGTTGCTCTAATAGAAACCTTAATAGTAATATAGTAATCTGCTTTTTTGGTAGGATACGGTCTAGGGTTTTAGTAATAGCTCGTATTCTGTGGAAATTAACGATATAGCCAGTATAACTCCGTTGTTAATTAATCTCTAATTCTTATATAAATATTGTAGCTTATTAAACTAGCTTGGAACACAGCTTAGACTGCTATGTTTTGGAACCAATGCACGCCCCAATGGCAGTCCGCTTTCGAGCTTCATGCATCAATCACTGACATATTTCAATGACGTCTTTATATTAAAAGAAAGCTAATTGCAATAAAAATTTGAAAGCCAGTAATTTTTTTGCACGATCGCGACTGGAATGTGGTTTTATGGTCACGTATTCTGAATTTAGCATAATTAACTAAATATGAGGCTGAAAAGGCTCTTGCAACTGTAAAATAGTGACGGCGTTTAGTAGACGTTTCAAGCTTCGCCCACTCAGCCTCATATTTAGTTTATCATCACAGTATCACGCATCATATGAGTTTTTTGCTCACTTCTATTAACCAAAATGACCAAGGATACTGGTGTGAAACCTTATCTGGGCCGTCATGAGTGACATGACTATTTACTCTTAGGGTGCAGTCCTTTGGGGTGATTTGCATCAGGATCAGAAATCAAAGATCACTGATCCTGATCCTGATCCAGATCACCCCAAAGGAACGCACCCTTAAAGTCCTTCCACTCAGGAATGCGGCGATAATTGTAAGGATAACCTAAAAAAAAAAAGGCCGGTGAAAGATATTCTGCAGAGGACCGATATCTTATTCAGACGAAGTGGTAGCAATATTCTAGTCGCTTGGATTCAGATTAATAAAAACTACGTACATACCCAGCTAGCTTTCTACCTGTTTTTTTTCCGGCCTGCATACCTTCTTACCTACCCACCAACCTACCTATAGCTACCTACCTACCTGGTACGTACCCAACTGTGTCTACCTTCCTGCCTGCCTAAATGAACCTACCTACCAACCAAACCTACCTAACTTTTTGTAGCTATCGAGATAACTGCTTATCTACCTGCCTGTTTGCCTGTCAACCTACCTTCCTTTCTAATGTGGTCATGGTACCCATGTACCTCAGATATAAAACAAAATGTGGTGTCTTTCTATTAAGATTCAAATATCCTGATGGCAGTTGTTTTCTTCAAACTTGATTCATCGACCAATCACAGTGCATTCAATTTCTAAATCTGTAAGTAATCAGCAGTTTTTCTCATACAAGCGTCTTTGCATGTGACTTCCTGTTGCAGTTGAGGAGTTTTATAAAGCCTTTCCTGAAGTCGTCATTCATACCAGCGTACAACAAAGGATTCACACAGCTGTTTACATACACCATGATGCTGCCAAAAGTGAGAAGCTCGTTAAAATGGGGCCAGCTTTGTGCGGTGCCAAACTCGTACCACAACCAGACAACCTGATTGGGCAGCAGGCAGATGGCGTACAGAGACACAACAGTCACTAACATTTTCATTATCTTGGTATTGCGTTCCAGTCTTTTCACTTCCCTTCTGTCAACTTGCGGAGGATCAATGCTTTGAGGAACAAGGTCTTGTTTAGCAGAATCGCTGCACTTTTTCCGGACCTCAGATTGTTGCACGGTAGGGGAAGACACGGAAAAGGCTTCGCTTGTTGGGTGCAGTTGATACCCATTTGCTCCTAGGCCGTAAGTTGTCATTGATATGCCATTTTCGTGACGATTCCTTGCAATGCGAGCTGCTTGGTGGCGAAGCTTCCTAGCTACCATTAGGTAAGCGAAAGTGATTATGAGAAGCGGTAAAGCGTATTGAAAGATAAACAACCCCATGGTGTAGACCTTCACAGCAGAAGGGTGAGGCCAGTCTTCAGCGCAATAGCCACCTTGGATTTTAAGTACGAGAGCGTATGGCAGCACTAGTATGAATGACACCGACCAGGTAGATGCAATGATGGCGGCTGTCTGAGATGATGTAAAGCGTGGTTTCCAGGGATGTACAACAGCCCGGTATCTGACAACATAAGTGAAACATGTTACAGGTGTCCAGAAATGAGTATACAGTCGTGTGGCAATGTAACATAGTTTTTTAAGAGGTAGCCCAGCTCGCGAGAAACAATAATATCTAACTAGAAGTTCCAAGTGAGTTTTAGACATGGAATGAAATCAAAAATAGCGTTTACTTGACAGCGATACCAACGAAGATTAACAATTAAGCTGCACAAAGAAGCCAGACATACAAGCTGGAAAAACTCAGAATAAATTAAATGATCTATATCGTGAAGGCAATAGAACTTAGAAATTGTAGAAACCATCAACATGCAAAACACTGTTTTTTTATTTACATCACTTGTCTTCTAGCATCCTCAGGGGTAATACGATTTTAGACTGTCTTTGGAATTGCAGAGAGATCGGAGTAAGGTACTATGTCCGAGAAGTCAGTAATGATACGGGATGCGGCGGTCCTGTTTTCTTCTGTTTATCTTTGGGGTTTTTAATTTTTTTTGTATTCCTTTCTCTGTTTTCTTGGCTTTGCTTGTCCTTCTCAAGCAACATTCTGGCCTGCTCATCTCTATTTTTGTCGTGTGAAGTTACCATGGACCATGGTAAAAATAGACAGGAAAACTCTAAAACCTTACACTGGTTCTTGTTAACAATATTAACCTCACAAACACTTCTCCGTTACCTGTCTAGACTTATGGCCGCCAGAGTAGCTGACGAGCAGTTGGTGACCAAAGTCATCCCTGGCCACAGTATGTTACACATGGCGGCTCCCAATGGCCAGTGAGGATGGGTTATCTTCAGAACTACATCAAATGGTATACACAGTAGCGACACGGTCAGATCGGACATTGCTAAGTTCACCAGGAGATAGTTTCTGGTTGTGCGCATACGTGGCGTCTTAAAGATCACCAAACAGACGAGAATATTTCCTGTCACACTGACGAGAAAAACAGCGGAGAAAATGGTATACTCTGTTACTTGTAGCCACGTAAAACTCGGTGAAGTGCTATTTGGAAGTGAATTTCCACTGTCGGTGAGATTTGCCATCGGGTAGAAAGCGTGAAACCAAAGAAACGGACGATGTTTTAATGATTCAGAAACGCTTAACACGTTTTGGCTTTTTTGAGCTTGACTAGTGGTTTGGTTTAGTCCGACCCATTGTTATCCTAGAAAAATCATCAAATAAAAGCCTGTCAAAGGAGAAACAAACAAGAAAAGAAATTTCATAAGCTAAGCAAATAACTTAAGTCCTCAACACCTTTAGGTAAAAGCTCGTCCGGGTTTAACAATTTTATACGAAAAAAGATCAAAGAGGTAAGTACCACCAAAGTAAATATAAATTCAAATTATCGACACTATTTCTAAGAAGTGTACTTAATTTAAGATTTTAAAATACTTTTTTCCTCTCCTTCTTCTGAATGTATATACCTTGCTTGAGTTTCGAAGGGAACTTAAACCCTCGAGAGGAATGTGCCAAAAGAATACAAATAATCTAAGTGAAAGCGTTAAAATAATCTGTCTCTCGGTAGATCAAAAGAAGACAATTTGATGTTTAAGTGATTCAATTGAGCTTCAATGCTGTGGGCGACAATTAACAGTAATTTTTAAATTTTCTTCGTGCCTTTTACCTTGGCACAATCATATCCAGAGGCAAAGTAGGAAAAGTTGTTCTCAATAACGCACGAGAACACAAACACCACTTGCCGACTTTTATTTACTTTTACATGTGTGCAGCTTTGTAAACAACTTTCTTCCGAAAACAAAACTGTCAAAGAAAGACGTCGAAGGACACACTTCTTTCAATGAACTGATGACTCAGACTAGCCGGCGAAGCAAATCTGATTTGGATTGTCAATTCAACATTCTCCTAATGTCCTACTTTGTTTCTTTTTATATTTTACGAAACAATCAACCTTGCCTTCTTGTTTCTTCTTCTCCTCTCTGTGGCATGCTGTTGTTAGATAATAACTATTTTAATTATTATTTGAGCTTAAATTTACTTTAAAAAATCGTTCTATAGTTGAAGAATCAATTAAAAATAGTTTAATAGTTCAAACAACATGACCGCCATACACGCCCCATTCCACTCCAGGGACTGCATCGTTTCCTGCATGGCGGCGGCTTATTTGAACTTGCAAATCAGCTGTTGTAGGTAAAGAAGGTCTTGGAATATATAGATCCTTTTTTATGCTTATATATTTGAGACCTTTCTTCTAAACTAAAAAGAAAAACAGTTTATTATTTCTTACGGCTGGCTTAATTTCATTAAGCAAAGCCACGAGTGAATTTATACAGGAAAAGAAGCTTTATGTTAAGCAGTTATTCTTTTTTTTTTTAGAAACATTTGCGCGCTTACGACCCTTGGAGATGATTGAGCTGTCTTAATCAATGAATTAAATCTCGAATTTTATCAAATTAAACTTAAGCGCGAAAGTATAAATTGGATTTTCTGTATTAAAATTTTGGCATCAAAAACCACAATAATTTCACTGCGTACATAATTATAACGACAGAAAATGCTTACTAAGGTAAAAAAAAAATGCCACTTATCGGAAATGGCTAAACAAATACGAAAACTCTCAAAACTCCGGAACCTTGTCTAATAATTTCCGTAGATGACATTTGGTCTCTAATATATTCACAGTTTGTGCATGTAACCTGCAAATAACGTGTTGTTATGTAATAAATTAAATCAGCTAAGTCCTTGAAATCATAACTTGATTCCTTATTAAGCTTCAATTCTTTCTTTGGTCTTCTAAGGAAGCCACTATTAGCATTTATCGTTCCTTCCCCTAAAATAAGGAAGAGTCGTACAAACCTGTAAGACAATCTGATGAACCTTATCTCTATGTAAAACTGGAGAGAACAATTCATGTATTTTATCTCCGCTTTCCTCGCTCTTCTTCATTGATGTTTTCTAACGCTTTTATTCGAACACGAGAACCACCAATACGCATTGAAAGTATTTAATGTTCTCGACCTCTTTTAAAGGTTTCCTCCTCACTTTTTTGTCTTTCAATCAAGTAACATATTACGGAAAGAATGTACTGGTTTTATACAAAATTTGTAGTGGGTGAAGTAATGTTTTGATTCAAGTGCATTTTCTGTATCTGAACCTACTGATAAGGCCACTAGGCATAACAGGCGGATTATATTCACATAGAGAGCACACTTAGCTCACCACGTAGCCAAAGGGCTTTTTAGGCAGTCTACTCATAATTTATTGTAGGATATACTCACTAAGACTTGTTTTCGATTAAATTCGTCGGTACCTTAGTTGATTTTATAGGAACAAACGTTCTAGTGAAATGTTCAATGTTCAATGTTCTATATGCACATTGTTCTTTTTTGTTGTTGTGCTATGTTGCTCTGCAAATTCTTTATGCTTTTTTAATACTTTTTTAAATTTATTTTATATTTATTCAAGATGACAGTAATGCATTGGCAATTGCACCCAAGACTGCCAGATGCCAAATGTGCGTTAGAAGTTCCTAAAAACCAGGAGAAAAATAAGGATTGGTGCAAGTCTTCCGTTATAACCTCTGATGATTTACGATGCGTCTCACACAATTGAGACCACACAGACAAGTTTCCGGAACGCGGTCCGACGAAAACTTAATTTTCTCACGTTTTCTCAAACTCGACGACTGATAGTCAGCTGGTAACATAATTTCATTGGTTAGTAAGTTTGCTAAATGTCTTAAGATTTTTCGGAGTGTTGAGTATTTTCAAACAAGAAACGTAAGTTGCATGCATGTGCAGCTTCGCTAATCACTGATCAGCTTTTGTATTTGTTTCTATCAATAACAACTCTGCATGGATATAAAATATCTGTTCCTTTCCACATCCTGTTTTTTATGTCCATATCTGGTTTAGAATTTAGTAATAACACGCGACCCATTGACGATAAAATCTATTTCGATTGCATTTTGTTTTTGCTATGAGAATAGAAGAACTTTTAACAAAATCCAAAATTACACTTTTGATGTTAATTTCGTTTACTCGCAGGTGCATGCGACAAAAGTGTTTTGGCACAGATAACAAATTCTACGCTGTTCTCTTTTTGTACGTCAAATCGTGAAATATAATCCTTCCTTTTGCCAGGGAAAAACAAGTAAAAATTTTTTTGGATGAATTTTTGCAGCCGATTCGTCGAAAAAACAGTCGATCTAATATTTTATATCATTTTTTTCTGGTCCAAAGAAAAATATTTTAAATTGCTCACGCGTAGTTTGAAGGTATAACATTTATTTGCCCGAGGATTAACATTAAATCGAAAAGAAAAAAATTGAAACTTTCCATTCAAATCGAACCTGATTTATATTTTCGACGTTTGGTATTTTCCGTTTAGATTTTTGAATTATTTACACCATGGTGTTGTGACTATTTAACAAAAAGGTAACAAGGTTTGATACAAATGCAGTGAGGAATCGTCTCACTGATAAAACAAAGCAGAATTATCAAAGCTAGGAAGTAAGATGAATATCTAAAACTCACCTCATTTAGTAAATAAACATAGTAAAGCCGAAGCCAAAAACACGCAGCTCCGTTACCCGATTAAGACCTCTCGCTACCGCCATGAAGAAAGCTACATTTCTTACATTAGATATCGACAGCTATTTATCATAAGCTGAAAGAACATCTGTAAAAAGCTCAGTACACACACTATGACGACGTCATACATATGCAGAAATAATAGCAACTAATGAAGTTTCTTTAGAAGAAAGATCCCTTTTTTCTAACTTTCCTGCCCCAACATTGGGTTTAACATCAAAAGAGGTAAAAAAAAGATTGAATCAATGTCGTGCCGAGTAGCGCTAGGAAATATCTTCCCTCGTTTAATTATTTTTCTGTGTGCCAAACAGAAACAGAAACACTTTTAATTCAATGAAAGATCTAAAATACTTGCCCATCAGTTTATCCATTATGAATCGCATAAAAAATAATGATACCATTAAAATTATCAGACCACATGCTGCGAAGAAACGTCGTAGCACAAGTCGACTGCACTTGTTTTGCTTGTCTTTAAACTAAATAAATTTTAGGTACATTTTACATATTTGTGTTCTACCGCGAAAGAAAGATAGCTAGGTCTTAAGAAATGAAAAGCAAAAGAAAAACAAAACTGTTCACGTGTGAACGAGCATCGAGCTTGGCCAATAAGCAGCCTTCATCAATTTTGATCTAGAACACTTTGGCGCCAAAATAATTCTTACGTGGCTTTCCGAATGCATCAAGATGGAGGTCGTAAAAGCTATAAATGAAGCTTTTTGGGTCCTCTCTCAAGCCAGAGATATCAACCTTCGTATGCCAATATTCTGGAGACGTTAATTATAGTGTAACATGCACAAGGCGAGGAAAACAATTTGAGGCGCTCGAAAAGAAATTCAATTGGAAATGCAAATGCTTTGGCTTTTTAGAGAATGAGCTTTTAAAAACTGCTTTTAACGCGTGTTAATTGGCTAATCTTTCTCGTTAATAACAATACAGAGTTCTAGTTAACGCCATCTGTGCTAGGAGCACTGTAAAATATTTCTCCAAACTCTGTAGAGCTGTACAAGAAGCAATAGGTCTTCCTAAACAGGAAAACTTTTCAAACAGGCATAGTCGGAAGGGACTTTTCAAGCAATGGGCTGACGACAATTGAATAAGTTTGAGCAGAACGCGGCAAGCATACAACAAAACATCTTTGTTGTATTGAAAGACTGCAGGTGTCAGGAAATATCTTAAACCAACGTGAAAAAGAAAATTCATGTCGTTTAATTCGGACAGAGACAACGTCGAATTTTGTTGTTGACTGAAAATTTCACACAAAACAAATTGTGAAATTGCTTCCTGACTCATTTTGTTCATCTCGGCGTAAGCCTAACCATTTCAAACCGGCTTTTATTTCATCCTCTACCCCAAAGAATTGAAATTTTTTTTTTTCTAAATTCGCTTTCAGGGACTCAGTTTCGATTCAGGGGTATGTGATATACATTAGAAAGTTCATAGGAATAACTTACAAGTTTATGCAAAATAAAGAATGGAGATGGCGGTGGTTTCAATCCAATTAATAAGCACCACTTACCATGTTTCTTTTCTTTCCTTTCTAAAACAGATCCTCGTGTCTTTCAATCACCAAATCTCCTCTTGTTCTCCTAAACGGTCTTAACACGGTAACAGGCATATATGGACGATCTGATTTCAAACGCTTTTTTATGCATCAGTTCAATAATTTGAACTTTTTTATGGCAATAGTTCATTTTTACCTTTAAAATTCAACGGCCAGACAGTGGGGACAAAAGCAGACGCTAGCACGCTTTTGGGTAAAACTGGTTAAAAACTTGTAAATGACGAATTTAAACACAAACAGCCAATTAAAAGGCTCCTCT